TTACCAGCTTATGATGGTTAGATTAGGGACATCATGTTTAATTTAGCATACTCATGTTTGCATCCACTTGTATTGCATGCACCAAGGCCCGGCACATCATTCTAATTCGCATTGTGGTTTAAATACTTCTTTGAATACATGCTTAGACCGCATGCGATCAAATCATTTCATATGCCGCATTAGTAGGCGAGCCTAGTAATTGCATATCACATGTGTTGCGTTTGTCATATTGTACAGTTAGGAATCATGCATATTTTCTAACTTTGTTTTGTAACTTGTTCGCAGGACGTCGGTAAATATGTGAGTTGTTATGCTTTAATGTGTTGCATTTGTCATATTGTATAGTTACGAATCATGCACATTTTCTAACTTTGTTTTGTAACTTGTTCGCGGGACATTGGTAAATATGGGAGTTGTTATGCTTTAGCATCCCGTTTGTACATAATTTTCTATTATGTTTAGCATCCTACCATGAGGCTAACTGCTTAAATAATAAACTATTTGAATGTCTGTGGATGAAGGCTTGTTGCTTGAATTGGAATGATTCAACGAATGTGTGTTTTACGCCCACTTTATTAAGTGGCAAATTAAGCCCACCTGAGGTGGCAAATTTAAACCCTTTTCAAGAAACAAACATGAAATTGAATTGTTCCAATTTGAGCAAACTAGTCTATACCTTGTATGCTTCACATAATAAATTTTAGGATTTATTAAATAATCAGAATAAGAACATATACTGTACATAAAAATCACATCATAATTAGTAGAGGCCGATCTTTGATCGGGTGAGTGGGGTGTTCAATTATTGACCTTCCCCTCTCATACCTAAGTTCCTGAACCAAGACATTTTGGTAACAACGGACTAATGGCCTTCGGCACGAGTCATAGGTTTCCTAAATTTCTCAAAAATAAGTATTTAAGTGGCGACTCTGAAATCTGGAAAAATAGTCTAATTTTAGCATTTGATTCAAACATCGATTTTCTAAAAGAAATTGCCGGATTTGGACTCTTTTTGTGTTTCCATTGTTTCACATTGCACTTGTGAAATCAGAATCAGAACCAACACAAGTGGAGTCCGAACTGTAAGGGCTATTTTATTCTTCCGAAAAGGAGTGCGAAAAGTCGAGCTACAATAACAGAGACATCGTACCATACAATGCATATATTTCTAAACGTTTCAACTGTCACATAAATGTGGAAGTTTGTGCCAGAATGAGATGTATCAAGTATATACACAAGTACATTTACAAGGGCTATGATCGTACAACGATGGTGTTGGGATTGATAAATAAGATCCAACAATATCTCAATGCGAGGTATATTGGACCTCCAGAAGCTGCTTGGCGAATATTTGGTTATCCATTGCATGCAGAGATACCAACAGTTGTACGCTTAGCACTTCATTTACCTGGAATGCACCGCCTTCTTTTTAATCTTGATGAATCATTAGAAGTAATTGTTTCTAGAGCTGGCCAACAAATGTCAACTCTTACTGGTTTTTTTGCATGTTGCGCTTCTATGGAAGATGAATGTCCATTCACTTTATGGAAGATGAATGTCCATTCACTTACCAAGAATTTTCACAACATTTTGTTTGGCTTAATTCAGAAAAGAGATGGAAACCAAGGCAGCAAGGCTATGCAAACGGTAGAATGTACTTTGCTAGCCCTAATTGTGATGAGAGAGTTTATTTGCATTTGCTATTAACTGTTGTCAAATGACCAAAATCGTTTCAATGCTTACGTAGGGTCAACAATGTTTTGCATGATACGTTTAAATCAGCATGTGTTGCAAGAGGACTTTTAGAAGATGATGAAGAATGGATACAATACCTTAAAGAGGTTGCAGTTATGAAAACTAGTTATCAATTAAGGAGATTGTTTACTATTATTCTTACTCAATGCTCTCCACAGCAACCATATGCGTTATGGAATCAATTTTCAATGCGTATATGTGATGATCTTGCACATAAGATTCGAACATTGTTTGTCATTTCTGAATCAACTGAGGCTCAAATTGAAGACTATGGCCTATATCTTTTGAATCAAATGCTCCAAGAATCAGGAAAAAGTTTAATTGACTTCCCGCCAATTCCACAACCTTCTACAAATTAGAGTGCAGTAGTTGGTAACAGGTTGATATTCGAACATCAACAACTGCAGAATGAGGCACAACAGGCAGATGCAAAAATTATTATTGATCGCCTCAACAATGATCAACGAACGGCTTATGATGCAATCACTTCCTCAGTCTTTGAAAATAAAGGAACTATTTTCTTTTTGAATGGAGGTGCCGGAATAAGGAAAACATTTTTGTACAATGCGATTGCATTGAAGTGTCGCAGCCTTGGCCATATTGTTATTACTGTGGCTTCATCTGGAATTGCATCATTTTTATTGATAGGAGGTCGTACTGCTCATTCAACATTTTCCATTCCGTTGGATGAATTGGAAAATTCAATTTGTGGATTTAGCAAGCAATCATTACAAGCAGAATTGTTTAGAGAAACAAAACTTATAATTTGGGATGAAGTTCCTATGCAGCATAGACATTGTGTTGAGGCAGTTGATCGCACATTTCGGGACACTTGTGATAGTGAAAAGCCATTTGGGGGTATCACTGTTGTTCTTGGTGGAGATTTTTGACAAATCTTACTAGTTATAACCAAAGGAATCCGTGAGCAAATTGTGAATGCATCATTAAGACACTCTTTTCTATGGAAGGATATACATGTTCTGTCTTTAAATTTGAACATGCGCTTGAATCATGCAAATCTTGAAAATGCTAATTTTGTAAAATTCTTGATGGAGATAATATTTCTTCAAACTTTTTCTCTATTATATGGTTATTTTAAATTGACGAAATACATTTATGTTTATGTACTTTAATTGATTTTACTTACTATTTTATTTATTTATTTTTATAAATAGATTGGGACCAATCCTCAGAAAATTGTTAAACTTCCATCAACAATATACAAATGCCAAGATCTAAAAGACATAATCTCAGTAATTTATCCGCAACTGGATGTGGCAATGACATTGACTGCAACATTTTTAACTGAACGTACAATTCTTTCCTCACAGAATGATGATGTCAGTGCTATCAATACTGCAGCATTGAATATTTTTCCGGGTAACACACATACTTATTTGGCAGCAGACAAGATGTTTGAAGAAGATGAAATTGATCGTACTATAATAAATAGATATCCTAATGAATATTTAAATTCATTAGATCCTCCTAGGCTACCAGCTTTTAACGTAGAGTTTAAAGTGGGTTGTCCTATAATGTTGTTAAGAAATATTGCATCAAAAGATGGACTGTGCAATGGCACAAAATTGATGGTTTCTAGATGCAATACTCGCATAATTGAAGCTCAAATTTTAACTGGAGAAAAATGTGGCAATTTGGTATTCATACCAAGGATATCCTTGACATCGTCTTCTTCAGAAATGCCTTTCCGAATGACAAGACGTCAATTTCCAGTTCGATTGGCATATGCCCTGACCATTAATAAATCTCAAGGGCAATCTGTGAAATTTGTTGGAGTTGATTTGCGCACACCAGTGTTTAGTCATGGGCAAGTGTATGTGGCCCTATCTAGATGCACATCTTTTGATCGTATAAGTGTCCTCCTTCCCAATGATAAGCCAGATTCTACTACAAACATTGTTTATACTGAAATTTTGTTATAGTGTTACTTATGGATCAAGCCACTTTTGTCAAAAGGTACAATTTATTTATTGATAAATTTGTTTCTATTGATTGCAAATTGTTGTTTTTAAAATATTTTACTATATGTGTCGACTTTTGTAGGATTGGGTTAAAAAATATATGGAGCTCAAAAAGATAAATACAACTAGATTGCTTTGATGGGAATGTAACAAGGTAATTTCAATTTGAAAGTGTTTTGATATATATATATATATAAATTTTCTTTTACTAATATACTAACTTTTTTTGTTTTCATAAATTAGTAGATTGTCGTGCATGCTCCTCACTGGAGATACATACAAGTTGATACAAAGACTTTTTGGAAAGTGATGAGGCGCTCCTAGGATTTCTAAGAAAGAACAAGTTTGAATCTCATATTTATTTTTGTGAAAAACGTACATATGCTAGCTACGATCCATATTTTGTAAAGTTTCCGATCGATGTGAAATTTATTACTTACAATAGTTTTGTAAAGCCTTTTATCTATGTGAAATTTATAACTAAGTTTAGATGTATGTTAAATAATATTCATTTGAATTATTGACTTATGCCATGAGTTTGTTTTTATAAATGTAACACACTAGGTGATATATTTTTTTTTGTTTTTTTTGTTTTTTCTTCCTAATATACTCTTGAATTAGGTTAAAGAAAACTAATCATATTTTTATTTAGTTGAATTTGAATTTTTGCCTCCATATATCTTTTTATCAGAAAGGGTGTTGCATTTTCTTTGTATTACAGAACATTAGCTGGTGTGCTTAATTTGTTATTTGGCATTTTTTTTGTATTGCAGAGCATTGTCTGGTGTGCTTAATTTGTTGTTTATTTTTTTCTATTGCAGAGCATTAGCTAACGTGTTTCGTCTGATTTTTATATAGATGTTTCTGTGTTGTGGGACTTACATTTTGTTGTTTGTTTAAAATCTTATACTTTTGTTGTGCTTGAATTTTACGTAGCATTTATGTGTATACTTTTCACTATTTCGTTTACCTATAAATTTGGAAAATTTATGTTTAAATTGATTTATTCACCAAGTAGCATACAATTTATTTATTTTTTATTTATTTAATTTTCTGCACAATAAACTGACCACCAAACCATAAAAATTGGTAGATTTTAACCATTATATTAAAATTGATGAAAAACTATAGCTATGAGATCTCTCTTCTTTACTTCAACCAAAACTCACTATCTAAAAAAATGTGGATATAGAAATTTATTTGGGTACTGCTATTGTCCAGGATAATAAAATGTTTATTTTCTATTACAAATTGCAAGTGGGTTACATAAACAAAAATACTACAATAGTAAATATTTGGTGATATGATCTTTGTTTGCATTTGTGTCATCATTATTTTCACGTTTTCTTGGCCAAGGTAATAATTGTGTCATCACTATTTTTAATTTCTCCATCTCTCTAAATTTTATAATGAAAAATATTTAAATTGAGTTGACCAGAAAAGTAAAAAATATTGATTAAAATATTAAAAATTTCACTAAAAATAATAAAATTAAAATTAAAATTTTAAAAACTATTTTTGGAAACTCTAAAACCAAGTAAGTTTTGAATTTTAAATTTGTAAAAATTATTTTTAATTTTTAGTATATACAACCAAACAAAATTTTGAGTTTGACAAACTCTTTTAAAAAATCTAATTATAAAATTCATTTGAAAATCCAAAACCATACGGATCATCTATTTATATTTTCACCTCAAATTTTTTTTCCCAACAAATTAAATAAATTACATTTTAACCCAATAATTTTATATTCACTTACATTTTCATTCCAATAATATTTTCACCGTGCCTTCAAGCACGGGCATACCCTAGTATATATATATATATATATATCAAAACACTTTCAAATTGAAATTACCTTGTTACATCCCCATCGAAGCAATCTAGTTGTATTTATCTTTTTGAGCTCCATATATTTTTTAACCCAATCCTACAAAAGTCGGCACATATAGTAAAATATTTTTAAAATAACAATTTGCAATCAATAGAAACAAATTTATCAATAAATAAATTGTACCTTTTGACAAAAGTGGCTTGATCCATAAGTAACACTATAACAAAATTTCAGGATAAACAATGTTTGTATTAGAATCTGGCTCATCATTGGGAATGAGGACACTTATACGATCAAAATATGTGCATCTAGATAGGGCCAAATACAATTGTCCATGACTAAACACTGGTGTGCGCAAATCAACTCTAACAAATTTCACAGATTGCCCTTGAGATTTATTAATGGTCAAGGCATATGCCAATCGAACTGGAAATTGACGTCTTGTCATTCGGAAGGGCATTTCTGAAGAAGACGGTATCAAGGATATCCTTGGTATAAATACCAAATTGCCACATTTTTCTCCAGTTAAAATTTGAACTTCAATTATGCGAGTATTGCATTTAGAAACCATCAATCTTGTGCCATTGCATAGTCCATCTTTTGGTGTAATATTTCTTAACAACATTATAGGACAACCCACTTTCAACTCTACGTTAAAAGCTGGTAGCCTAGGAGGATCTAATGAATTTAAATATTCATTAGGATATCTATTTATTATAGTACGATCAATTTCATCTTCTTCAGACATCTTGTCTGCTACCAAATAAGTATGTGTGTTACCCGAAAAAATATTCAATGCTGCAGTATTGATAGCACTGACATCATCATTCCGTGCAGAAAGAATTGTACATTCAGTTAAAAATGTTGCAGTCGATGTCATTGCCACATCCAGTTGCGGATAAATTACTGAGATTATGTCTTTTAGATCTTGGCATTTGTATATTGTTGATAGAAGTTTAACAATTTCCTGAGGATTGGTTCCAATCTATTTATAAAAATAAATAAATAAAATAGTAAGTAAAATCAATTAAAGTACATAAACGTAAATGTATTTCGTCAATTTAAAATAACCATATAATAGAGAAAAAGTTTGAAGAAATATTATCTCCATCAAGAATTTTACAAAATTAGCATTTTCAAGATTTGCATGATTCAAGCGCATGTTCAAATTTAAAGACAGAACATGTATATCCTTCCATAGAAAAGAGTGTCTTAATGATGCATTCACAATTTGCTCACGGACTCCTTTGGTTATAACTGGTAAGATTTGTCAAAAATCTCCACCAAGAATAATAGTGATACCCCCAAATGGCTTTTCACTATCACAAGTGTCCCGAAGTGTGCGATCAACTGCCTCAACACAATGTCTATGCTGCATAGGAACTTCATCCCAGATTATAAGTTTTGTTTCTCTAAACAATTTTGCTTGTAATGATTACTTGCTAAATCCACAAATTGAATTTTCCAATTCATCCAACGGAATGGAAAATGTTGAATGAGCAGTACAACCTCCTACCAATAACAATGATGCAATTCCAGATGAAGCCACAGTAATAACAATATGGCCAAGGCTGCGACACTTCAATGCAATCGCATTGTACAAAAACGTTTTCCTTGTTCCGGCACCTCAATTCAAAAAGAAAATAGTTCCTTTATTTTCAAAGACTGAGGAAGTGATTGCATCATAAGCTGTTCGTTGATCATTGTTGAGGCGATCAATAATAATTTCTGCATCTACCTGTTGTGCCTCATTTTACAGTTGTTGATGTTCGAATATCAACCTGTTACCAACTACTGCACTCTAATTTGTAGAAGGTTGTGGAATTGGTGGAAAGTCAATTAAACTTTTTCCTGATTCTTGGAGCATTTGATTCAAAAGATATAGACCATAGTCTTCAATTTGAGCCTCAGTTGGTTCAGAAATGGCAAACAATGTTCAAATCTTATGTGCAAGATCATCACATATATGCATTGAAAATTGATTCCATAACGCATATAGTTGCAGTGGAGAGCACTGAGTAAGAATAATAGTAAACAATCTCCTTAATTGATAACCAGTTTTCATAACTACAACCTCTTTAAGACATTGTATCCATTCTTCATCATCTTCTAAAAGTCCTCTTGCAACACATGCTGATTTAAATGTATCATGCAAAACATTGTTGACCCTGCGTAAGCATTGAAACGATTTTGGTCCTTTGACAACAATTAATAGCAAATGCAAATAAAATCTCTCACCACATTTAGGGCTGGCAAAGTACATTCTACCGATTGCATAGCCTTGCTGCCTTGGCTTCCATCTCTTTTCTGAATTAAGCCAAACAAAATGTTGTGAAAATTCTTGGTAAGTGAATGGACATTCATCTTCCATAGAAGCGCAACATGCAAAAAAACCAGTAAGAGTTGGCATTTGTTGGCCAGCTCTAGAAACAATTGCTTCAAATGATTCATCAGGATTAAAAGGAACGCGGTGCATTCCAGGTAAATGAAGTGCTAAGTGTACAACTGTTGGTATCTCTACATGCAATGGATAACCAAATATTCGCCAAGCAGCTTCTGGAGGTCCAATATACCTCGCATCAAGATATTGTTGGATCTCATTTATCAATCCCAACACCATCGTTGTATGATTATAACCCTTGTAAATGTACTTGTGTATATACTTGACACATCTCATTCCGGCACAAACTTCCACATTTATGTGACAGTTGAAACATTTAGAAAGATATGCATTGTATGGTACGATGTCTCTGTTATCAACTTCTTTCTCTCTCACAATATGAGCTTGACCATTATTGCGACGACGATAGATAGGATATCCATCTTGATCCATAGTAGTTGTTTCTGCGAACGTTCGAGGGTATCTCTTAGTGCATTTACCATTTTCCATACATGGTGCTTATGGATTTCGAGCACCACATGGTCCATGTACCATATAACACTTGATAGTTTCAAAAAGCATAGGTTCATCTTTTGGATCTGGAAATTCTACACAAACCAATTTGTCTACTTGAGCGCATGTCCGAATTTTGTCTGGACCCTTAAGAAATAGAAGTGCGTGCATATGAGGAAGGCCTCGCTTTTGGAATTCAATTGTAAAAATATGCGCAACTTTATTACCAAACACTCGGTTTGTTTCTATCTCCTTCATCAAGCACTTTCTCTTTAACTTAAAAACACGGGCAATTAAATCAGGACGATCAATAGGCTTTTGATGCGGTAATAATGCCGAAATAATTTCTGGCCAATTAGGATTTGTAGTCATGGTAAGAAAAATGTCTAGATGTTGGTTGTATCGTATGATAGCCATTGAGTCTTGAAAGATTTCAAACATATGTCTAGGACCTCCAGGAAATGAAGATGGCAAAGCAAACCTTTGACCAATTTGATTGGGTTGAAGGTCATTTGGATCAATATTTGTTAGATCTTGGTAAAGTTCAGCACGGATTTTCCCTTGATTAAGCTTGTAGTAAGTCAACCTATTTTGTTCAGTTGGGGCCCAAGCATCAACCAAAAACTCTTGGAACAATTTTTCAGCTCTCAAAATTGTTGAATACTCTGTAGGTCGTTCGAACAAACAATAACTATAAAAATCCATTTGAGTAAGCCGATCAGTTGAAGGCCAATCACGCTGAACATCCCACAATTTCAGCTCAGGTTCCCATCCAAGCTCACCATGTGGAAATAATAAAGCATAATATAATGGCAAATATGCTGGGTGACATTCATTGATTTGCATTAGCTCATTACTTCCATGTAGATGTAAGATAACATCTCTCATTCCACTAACCTTGGTTCCATCACCTGGTATTACAACTGCAATCTCATCTATAGTTGGTACGTTATACCGTCGTCGATCTGTCGATGAACTATAGTGGAGATGAGCAAGCAAATTTCGTCCTGTCAAGGCTAATTGATTCAAAATTGCTTAAGCCTGGAAAAATTTAGCAATGAATGCATTAACCTGTAATAAACAATCTTGAATAGTTTTTAGAACATTTCTTCTTAATTGAGGATTTCTACGATTGCGAACTTCTAAAGCTGAATCAGGGTCATAAATATACAATTGCGCATAAGCTGCATCTTGTTCTGATTATGGTAGTAGTGATCCTATTCGATGTCGCAATTCCCCATGGATAGTGAATGATGTAGGGCCTCTTCTAGTAAGTACTCTTGGATCTAATGTAGCACCAAGACTTATAAAAGCATTGGTTGCATTGTACACTCGAGTATAACGTCGAAACGATTTTGATTTATCATCATTCACATCATATAATGCTTGAAGAAGTGAAGGGGGTGTAATAAGTAGATGAAGCTTAACCTTCCCTTTTGAACAACATGTAACGCCCTCAAAATAAAACCATAAATCATACAATCTTGACATGCTTAAACAAAAGAGAGTAAAGCATAATTTCATTCATCAGAGTATTCATTACAAAAGTATTACATGTTGACATCAAAAGTAAATGCCCCACGGGCTTACAACTTTCCAAGTCAACACTTGGTTACAAGAAGGAGAGCACTAACTCTACACAAAATAAGCCCTTGGTTTGATATACATGTAATACAACAAAAACAACAAAAGAGTCTAACAGCCTCAAGCCTCCCAAGCTACGTCCTTGGAGGTGGCATAACACATGTACCTGAAAATGATGTCCCATATAGGGTGAGCCAACGCCCAGTAGAGATATGCTAAACATAATATGAGCAAAAACTAAAACATTAGCATTTGATAAATGTTTAACTCACATAAATCAATTCATAATTCGTTTCAATTACATGACAAATATGTCCATGTTTTATTTCTCTTTCCTTTACTTAACTGATTCTCAATTCATAACCGTGGCTCAGAACCTGGCCCAAACTATTTAAGTGAGATTATATCTCATATCAACAATACTTCCGTACATCACAATAGATACACATATTCGCTGTATCAATATTACACAAAACACTTCCATACTTCACAATAGATACACATATCGCTGTATCAATACTTCAATAGATACACATATTTGCTGTATCAATGGAGTACATCCCCTATCTCCTCCCAAACAATATCCGGTTTAGGAGTCCATCCCCTATCTTTTCCTAAACAGTGGAGTACATCCCCTATCTTCTCCCACACAACACAATGTATATAAGCATCTATCACATACATGTTTAATCAATACACAAATTTGATGTATTATTCCATTCATCATAATCAATGACATACAACCGATTAGTTTTAATTCGCCTAATCATCATGCAATGTGTACAACAATCAAGACTATCCTCCACCGATAGTCCAAAGCAATTATTTCTAAACAGACAATAATTATATCAACAGATAATTTATCAACAATTTCAAAGGTGAGTGATTAATGAATCCAACTCTACCATTCTACCTCATAATGAGTCAATTTCATTATTTTCACTCAATTTCCTATTTCCATAATAAATGTCATTAATTACACTGATGACCGAAATATACCCATACATGGCATTTTCCCCCTTTCCTCAAGATTGACCCAAAGGCCCAAATATTATCAACAACATCAATAACATCTTTTTTAAACCCAAAACACATATGTTTGAATCAAAAGAACAAAACCCCTCTTTCCAATATAACACATCTCAAACCCTAACTTCCCAAATCAAACCATTTATACAAAAAGCTCAACATTTAGGTTAAAGCTCATAAAAATGAGTAGTTATCCCTACCTCAAAGTCGGAGCTCAAAGGAGGAAGATGAAGAAATTCAAAATGCTCCAAACCCAATATTTTTGGATCAATATGTAGCCCTCAACAAGCTCCACACTTTTTACAAAAGCCCAAGGATGGAAGATCACTCCTACTAGATCAAACCCTAGAGAGAAGTTGGAGTTTTAGAGCGAGGTGCTCTCCAATGGAGGTTTTGAAAAGTAAAAGAGAGAAAGAAAGTGTGAAAAGTGATTTAAAATCACCCAGCTGCCCTCTGATATACGACTAGTCCGCTCGAGCAGAGAATAGGACGCTCGAGCATCAAGCACAAAAACTGGACCCACTCGAGCGCAAGAATACCCGCTCGAGCGTCAAGACACAACTGCAAAACGCACCCGCTTGAGCGTAAAGAGAAACCCGCTCGAGCGTAGATTACCGTCTCCTAATATTTTTTTACAAACATTGAACACTCGCTCGAGCGCAAAATGGTCCGCTTGAGCGCGACCCGCTCGAGCGTAAGGAAATACGCTCGAGCGTGAAAAACACATCTGCAATACTTTTGCAGACGGACAAACTACTAAAGGTGTGCAAACTCCGCTCGAGCGCGAATGGATCCGCTCAAGCGGACCACCAAAAATCTGGGTAATAAGGAATGGGACTAAAACTCAACCAACCCGATCGAAACACGCCCAAGACATTTCTAAACTCCAATCCAAAGCATTAGAGGACGGAAATGAAATACAGACAACCACAACTATCAATGGAACCGAGTCCGCAATACAGTAAATAAGGAAGGGAAAATCGGGATCGTTATAACCTCCCCCCCTTAAGGAATTTCGTCCCCGAAATTAAGTACAAGTTTTCAAAAACATGTTTCTCTCAATTCTTTACAATATTACAACTCAATATTCAACAACCTGACCCACTACTGGTCATCTCATCTCTTTTCAAGAGGCAAATCACAATATATAACTCAATATGCATTTTTAACATGCTTTCCTTGAAATTCAACAAGTTTCAGTACATAATCCACAATTCAATTTCACATTCAATGCCAATAATATATTTGCATTTCTAAAACAAAATTAACATACACAATGTAAAAATAAACTTCCATTTCAAGGCAAGTTCCAAAATACTTTCATAAATCAAAACATATACAATGTTTTACAACTTAAGACATATTCCATACTCTTAAAGTTCATCAATATTACAAAAATCCCAATACATGATTACGCATTAACAAACAAGTCCGGATATTTCTCACGGACCTCCAACTCACGTTCCCAAGTGGCTTCTTCCACTCCGTGATGTTTCCACAAAACCTTTACCAAGGGAATAGTCTTGCCTCGCAAGACTTGATCCCGCCTATCCAAGACCCGCACCGGTCTCTCCTCATACAAGGCATCCTCGTCAACCTCTAAGTTGGTCCAATCTAATACATGCGATGGATCCGGCTCGTACTTTCGAAGCATACTAACATGAAACATGTCATGCACCCCAAACAATTGTGGCGGTAAAGCTAAACGGTACGCAACCTCCCCAATCCTCTCAAGGATCTCAAAGGGACCAATAAACCGAGGGGACAACTTCCCACTCTTCCCAAACCTCATCAATCCCCACCTAGGTGATATTTTCAGAAAAACATGATCACCCGCCTCAAATGCCAAAGGCCTCCTCCTACGGTCGGCATGACTCTTTTGGCCACTCTGGGCTGTAACAAGCCTCATACGGATAAGCTTAACTTTCTCCGTTGTTTCCCTCACCAACTCCGGGCCCAACAAAGGTGCATCACTCACCTCGGCCCAACAAACTGGAGACCTGCACGGTCGGCCATACAAGGCCTCAAACGATGTCATACTAATGCTCGACTGAAAACTGTTGTTGTAGGCAAACTCTACCAAGGGCAAGTGCCTCTCCCACAACCCACTAAAGTCAAGGACACAACCTCGAAGCATATCCTCAAGGATCTGAATAGTACGCTCGGACTGCCCGTCAGTCTGAGGATGATAAGCCGTGCTAAAGGTCAATCTAGTGCCCAAGGTACTTTGTAAACTCTGCCACAACCTAGTAGTAAAACGTGGATCTCTATCTGAGACGATCGACACTGGGACCCCGTGCAACCTCACTATGTCCCGAATATACAAT